TGAGTTATAGTAATGGAATTTTCAAGTAGCCAAATAAAGAAGTAACGAAGGAGGAACCACAAATAAAATGTATTCCCATGAATGGATTAAAAACCCTAATTAGAAGTGTGATCTAGGTCATCAGGATGCTCTGCCAAAACTATAGCAGGAGGCACTAAATCGTCTAGCTTTCAGGAGAGAAGTTCAGCGCAGTGCAGAGAAGCAGCCGTTAATACAGCTTTCACTTAAAAGTACACCCTAGAAGAACCCCCAAATCTAGCAGCGACTGGCATCCGTGAATTTAAGGTCTAGCTTCAGCAATGTTCTTCATCACTTGGCCTTTTGCTCTCCCAGGACCTCCCACCCATTTTTCCTCACTCCCTGTCTGTCCCTTGCTCCTAGAGGAGTGGAATATTCTCCTTCCTTTCAGAACACGCAACTATGAACAGTGCTGCAGAAGGATACAGGACTGCACTCTGGCTCAGCACCTACGCCAACCACTGCAGTCCCAGCCCCTCCTTTTCCTGCCTGACTTCCCCATCACAAAGCAAAAGGAAGGAAGATGTTCTATTCCCTCCATGTCGTACCTGGTACTTTTCCCAGCCCTTCTCCCCATCTATTTTTGGTAAAAGATTCAGGATAATCTCAGCAGGGTTTAAAGGTCAAAAGGACTAAAGTTCAAGCCTGAATTAACCACACACTAGCTGTGAAATCTCGGGGAAGATATTAGCCACTGTTCCCTGTTTCTAAAATGGGGAGAAGGGTGCTTAGCATGATGCCCAACATACAGTACTAAGTGATCAATAAATATCAACTGCTATATCACTGTTACTCCCTAGTCCGAGCGTTCTTCCCCGAGACCCTCAGCAAACAGGACAGTCCCCAAAAGAGGCTGGGGGTATGACTCCTTTCTTCCTCCCCGTGGTTAGCATTAGCTATGTTCCGCCAAATCTGTGCCACAGCAAAGCAGCACTACCACCAACTGTCATAACTTTCATGAAGGGGATTCGAGGTTGCTAGGAGAAAGTTTTCTGCATGTCTTTTCTTTCAAATTCTGGGTGGGGGGTGCGGGTAGATAAAACTCTTTTTATCAGTCCTAGTAAGCTGAATGCTAAAAGATAAGCTGCAATTCCTAAACTTTGTCTCATTAATCAGACCATACACACAGCAGCCTAACGACTGATTCTTATTCCTTGTCTGAACGCCACTGGAACCTAAATAACACTCGGGCAGGACTTCTAATCTCATTCATAATAGGGATAAGCGTCCTTTAAATAAGCTTAGAAGCCATTACCCGCATGGTGTATGGGGAGAAGGGGGATCTTTTTCAACGGTAGGAAAAGGCAATGCACAAGGCTTCAGAGCTCTGCAGGCCCTCCCCAAATCAAATCCTGAAATAAATCTGGAGCCAAAATTCAAATGCAGAATTAACTCCAGTAACAAAGAAGATTCATTCTGATGATATGCTTTACTGTTAAAAAGGTTACTTACCAGACAGAAATGGCAGAGAAAGCAAAGAGAAGTTTTCACCATGAGACTCTGCTCCTTGCTGCTTTCTCTCCCTCCTTCACTTCAGCTGGACTTTGGTTCTCTCTTCCAGCCAGCAGAGGAACCATTTCTAGCCCTCCCCAGAAGGGACCATTACAGATGGTACCTTCTTCACTACCTGGTGCTGGGCCCTGTGAAGCTAGAATGATCTCTCTGCTGTCTGTGTAAACTCTGGGCTGCCTTCAAAAGACCCTTGACCAGCCTGGCAAGAACTGAAAAGTCTGACAGTGCCAAGTCAAAAATATGAAGCAACCAGGACTCTTATACACAGCTGGTGGGAGTGTAAATTGACATAACCACTTTGGAAAACAAGTTGGCATTATCTAGTGAAGGTGAAGATGTGAAGAGCCCACAGCATTGCAGTCTCACTCCTACCCATATGAACAACAAAATCCAACTTACCCAGCACCTACAGGGCTCCTACACCATGCTGAGAACTGGAGATACAAAGATGAGTGAAAGCTGGAAACGAAACTTTCTCCAAAGATGGAAATGTTACATACCTACACTGTCCAGTATGGTAGCCACTAGCCACACAAGACTATTGAACACCTGAAATGTGGCTAATGCAACTTAGGGACTAAAATTACCTGAAATTACTTATAATTTTAATCCAAGTCATATATGGCTAGTGGCTACCTTATTGTACAATGAAGCAAGAACCCCACGGACATGTACCTTAAGATATATGCACAAGGATGTCTGTGTCAGCACTGTTTGAAATCGGTAAAACAAAGACAACCCAAATGTCCATCAATAAGGAAATGGATAAACTGTGGCACAGCAGTCAAAAATGAATGCACTCTACAAGCACCAATGAAGCTAAACCTTGAAAGCAATGTTGAGGGGGGAAAAAATGTTACAGAAAAATTTAGAGAATGATGAATTTTTACAAAGTCCAAACACAAGTATAACAAGTATTTGTAGGGGCTCCTGGGTGGCTGAGTCGTTAAGCGTCTGCCTTCGGCTCAGGTCATGATCCCAGGGTCTTGGATTGAGCCCCGCATCGGGCTCCCTGCTCCTCAGGAAGCCTGCTTCTCCCTCTCCCACTCCCCCTGCTGGTGTTCCCTCTCTCCTGCCTCTCTCTCTCTCTCTCTCTGTCAAATAAATAAATAAAATCTTTAAAAAAACAAAAAACAAAAAAACAAGTATTTGTAGATAAAAACATAGTGGTGGCAAAGCAAAGAAAAAAAGAAAAAAAAAAAAAAAATGATAAATACAAAATATAAGGTAATGATTATGGAGCCAAGAGAGTTGGAAGGTACAATGTGGAAGGAGCACAATGGGCATGGCTAATGTTCTGCTTCTGTCCTTTTATTGTTGCCTCTTAGCGCATATATTACATATATTGTCTTATGCCTACAATTACCTCACAATAAAAGAAACGGAAAAGTACTACTGAGGTAGTGTTGCTGCTTCTTGCATCTCACCCACCAATTTCCACCCGTACACAGGCTGGGAGCTTCTCCGTGGTGGGGATAGGTTTCACTCATCTCTGGGTCTCCAGTTCTCAGCAAAGTGCAAGAGCCCAACCCTGCTTGCTAAGTGCCCTCGTGACTTGAACCCAAATCGGGGAAAAGCAGCACTCCCACAACTTCAGTTTGTTAACAGTTTTGTTTTCCAGGTAATACTAGAGAAACATTCCCTCTGCAGTAACAAAAAAATAATACTGTATTTCCTCCATTCTAAAATGCACCCTCCTTCACCACATTTTAGCAGATCTGAAAGTAGAATGCCTTCTACAATTGAAGTTGTCAGTAAAGGGTGGGGTTTCTCAACAGCACTGGCATGCTAGAATTCAGGATTGAAAGCTCTGTGAAGGAAGGACTGAGCCTCTTTTGTTCATTTCCCAATCCTCAGAGAAGTGTCTGCCACACAGTAGGGACTCAATAAATAGTTGCTAAATAAAGAAAAATAGTTACTATTACTGCAAGCCTACTCTGTGTCTGAGTCTTGCTAAAAACTTCACACAGATTATTTAGTTTGCCCTTTACAATAACTTCAAGGCTTAGCAAGGTTAAGTGCCCAAGACACTACATGTAAATAAGTAGTTGAGGGACGCCTGGGTGGCTCAGTCAGTTAAGCAGCTGCCTTCGGCCCAGGTCATGATTCTAGGGTCCTGGGATCAAGTCCCACAACGGGCTCCTTGCTTAGCAGGGAACCTGCTTCTCCCTCTCTCCCCCTCTGCTTGTGCTCTCTCTGTCAAATAAATAAAATATTAAAAAAAAAAAAGTAGTTGAAATAGAAACTTAGTAAATGGCAAAGGCAGGATTCAAATCTCCTCTAGACTCCAGAGTCCGTGCTCTTTTTTTTTAAATTTTTTTAAAAGATTTTTATTTATTTGAGAGAGAGAGAATGAGAGATAGAGAGCACGAGAGGGAAGAGGGTCAGGGGGAGAAGCAGACTCCCTGCCGAGCAGGGAGCCCGATGTGGGACTCGATCCCAGGACTCCAGGATCATGACCTGAGCCGAAGGCAGTCGCTTAACCAACTGAGCCACCCAGGCGCCCCAGAGTCCATGCTCTTAACCATGACACAATATCATCTCACAAACAAAATGAAGCCAAGTTCCACCCTTTCACCAATTTTGAAAATAAATGTTTAAAGAAAACTGCCTACAGTTAGTGAGCTTATATTAGCGGAATCACCGGCCATGTTTATAGGCAAACAGAACCTATGTTAGCCAGAGATGGGGGAGAGGTGAGTGAAACAATCTCATAGATAGCCAGACTTTCCTCCATATCCACCCTGACTTACAATATTAATCCAGTTACTGGTTCACACACAGAAACACATGCCCCTGACACCAGTAAGTACTATTTCCAAATGTAGTCAATGTCTAAAGACAAAAGAGTTATATCATCAAAGGGATTATCTTATTAAAAAGACCCTAAAAGTCCATTTGATCCAACCTCTAGGCAAGAAACTTAAATTCCTAACCTCATTTTAATGGCAGCTAAAGCCTTCCGAGGCCAAGTAACTTTGGTCCTCTGAGAAGTAAGTGGTTGAAGCAGAGACCAGAAACTAGGTCTCCTACTTCCTGGGCTCACCGTGTTCTCTTCACTACATCACAGCAGAGGGAAGTCATTAAGGATTTGTTAAGGTCCCCATCTAGGCAGCTATACTAACATGAATCCTTTACACAGTTTATCTTGTTTAATCCTCTTGTCGATTCTGTGAGTTAGATATTATCTCCATGTACAAGATGAGGAAACTGGGGGCGCCTGGGTGGCTCAGTCAGTTGAGCATCTGCCTTCAGCTCAGGTCATGATCCCAGGGTCCCGGGATCGAGTTCCGCATCAGGCTCCCTGTTTGGCGGGGAGTCTGCTTCTCCCTCTCCTCCCCACCTGTGCTCTCTCTCACTATCTCTGTCACTGTCTCTGTCTCTCTCTTTCAAATAAATAAATAAAATCTTAGGAAAAAAAGAAAAAAACAAGATGAGGAAACTGGATTCAGAGAAATTAGGTAACTCACCACAGGTCACACCCTTGGCATATGGACTAGAAGCCAGAATGGTTTTCCCTCACCTTGAAGACCTGCAAGTTAAAGAAATCATAATTAACATTAGCACGGTGCTACAAAGTGCTTTCATGCTATTGAAAAGAAAATGAGAAGTAAACTTCTGAAAATAAGAACATCTTTATATTATGCAAGCTTAAATATTCCCCAATACCTGCACCTTAAGACTGGAGTGTGGTTAAATACCAGTAAGATAATCTCTAACCAACAACAAAGATGTCGCCTCTAAAGGTGAACTTGAGACACAGGTAGCACCTTAAAAAGTTACTAGTATTTGTAGTAAATATAAAGGAAAAATAAAGTTATTTTTAAATCTCCCATTTAGGTTAAAAAGAGAAAATTTTGAAAAATAATTCAATTTTGTCTATTTTCCTCCATTTTTTCCATGTACCACACACAGTATAGCTTATTTTGCCAGAACTGTTTTGAAGACTTTCTCTTTCATTCCTGTCATCACCACATCCTCTTTCATGCAAAACAAGATGAGACTATCTGAGAGGCACCTTAAGTCTCTCAAAAGAAAAAAGTCCTCCATAATTTTCATGTATTATCATAACTTTATTTCTATCTTTTATGTAGGAAATCCCGTTCAATTTGGAGAATATTACTTTTATTTCTGAAACTGCAGCAAAACTATCTTGTATCTTCAGGAGCGCAACTCTCATCTTTTTAAAATTCTTTTTAATTCTTATGCAAATCTTAAAAAATTTAAATTTGTTACTCAGAACGAAATGCTATAACCAACGACTCCCCACGCCATTTGGAACATTTTAGAATCTCGGTTTCTTTTTTCAAAAATAAAAACCCAACTACATACAGAACAAGTAAAACTGTATGCTAATCGATGGTTTCTTTTTTACATGCCAAAGGAGGAGTTTTGCCAAAGAGGCTCTGAGCCTTCCTCCTTGATTCCTGCATAGTTTCTCCAGAAGGTTCCTAGCCTTAGTGGGGTCAGACAATAATGTGTAATTCATCTATTTTGCTTTAGAAGGTTAAATATATTACTCCCCTTTTCTGATTTATAATGTCATTCCCCTGCCCTCAGGGTAAAATAAAGTACAAGAAGAGAGAGAGAGAGCTTCACAGTAATCTGCCTACTAAAACAAGACATCTCTCTCCAGAGTCACTGCATTTAAAAAGGCTGCCAATCCTCATTTTATTTCACTTTTCCTTCTTCTCAGTCTGGAGTTAAAAATCAGCTCACTTGATGTTATCAAATCATCAAATGAAAGGTTCTAGAAATAGCTTCCTATTTGTGGAAGGAGCCAGAAGACGTACAAAAATGGAAGAGAGCTCTCGAATCGTCTTTGCTAAAGCATTCGTGTGTAATGAATGCAAGCAAAATCCTGAAAGGCTTGCTTAGCTATGAATTCAAGGTACTTCCTAATGGGGCTGATTTAAAAGCTAAAGAACAATGTAACCAGAAAACAGCCAAAAACCGTGATAGACCAAAAGCAAAGTTCAAATACACATTGCCCGGGGCCCGCGGTGCATACCCAGAATCACTGCACAGTTGCTTCAGGTGCTGCTCATCGCGCTCCCTGGCTCATCTGTTTCAGGTTACACATGCTCTTCTCTGTCAGTTGTCCCGGTTTGCCCACTCCACACGTTTACAAATGACTCAAAGTGCCACCTGCCCCCGAACGTCCCAGCTCCTGACACCCCCGCGCCGGTCCACGCACTTACGTGTCCGCACACACACCCTCGCCCCGGCTCCGCCCGCAGGCTGACTGGGGCGAGGCGAGCCCGGCACAGCCTCCGCGGGGTGGGTGGTGCCGTGCGCCGCGGCCCCACTGGCGCTGTCAGCTCGGACGCCGAGCCCCGCGTCCTCACTGCAAACTCCTCGCGGCAGCCGGGGCTCCCCCAAAATGCGGAGGCCTCGCCGGCTCCCATTACGCGGGGAAAGGTCCGCGTTCCTCCCCGCGAGGGTGTCACCGGAGCCCCGGAATTCAAATAGGGGCAGACGAGGAGGAAGGGGAGGATCCTCTTTTTGACTTTCTGCGTCGCAATTCCTCCTGGTCTGCACGCAGCCGAGTTGGGGTGGGGGGGCGCTCCCATTTTTAAGGCTGCTTCCGGCCTTTCCGGGCGCCGGGGCTCTTCTGGTCAGAGGGCATGCCCCGAGAATGCCAGGGAGACGCGCGCGAAGCCGAAGGGCACCTAGCGCGCCCGGCCCCGGCGCAGCCCCGCCGCCTGCCTCCCGCGCCCCGGAGGCGCTGCAGCCGCCGCGCCCCGACCTCCCCGCGCGCCCGGCACCAGGTCGTCGCGGGGAGCGCCCTGCAGCCGCAGCTGCCCCTCCAAGAGCCGCGCGCTGACAGCCGTGCCCCGCGGAACGCGGCGGTCGCGCGGCTGCAGCGCCGCGGTGCCTTCTTCCCTGGAACCCCGGCCCCCGACCCGCGTACCTTGGCTGCCGCCGAACCGCCGCTCGGGATTCCTACTGTGACAGCCCCTTTGGCCCGGCTCGGGGTTTCTCCGTTTTCGGCGTCACAATAATAAGGAAGTTTCCCCGCAAGCCTGCGGACGGCGGAATGTGCTGGGCGAATGACTTCCCACCCGGCCAATGGGCGCCCTTCTGGGGCGGATTGGCACCAATGGCGGCCGCGGCGGAGCCGGAGGCGGGGCGGCGAGGTCCGCGGGCGGGAGGCGGGGAGAGGCCCAGGCCCCGGAGGGAGGCGGGGGCCGCCGGAGGTGACAGGACCCGCGGGCCCGGCGAGGGGACAGCGGCGCGGGCGTGTGTCGGCCAGGAACCGGCTGCTAGACACAGGGCATTCGCGCCGGAATAGGATTGCTTTTCACTGACGGGGAAGCGAGCGGGACTGATCAGCGGTTGGTTTTTCAGGTTCTGTGTTCTGGGTCTTAATATTTATGCAGAGGTGACCAAAAGCCTTGAGCATGGGAGGGAAATCTAGAGGGTGACAACTGAGGGTGAGTTAGTAAGCGTTTTATTCCGCAGTGGAGGAGTCTTATGTTTCATACCTCTTCGCAAGACTGGACGAAGCGCGGAGCCGAAGCGCGGGGCCGCGAGGTGGGAGGGAGGCGGGAAGGAAGTCGGGTGCAGAGGCCCGCACTGCCTGGGCCCTCTTGGAAAGTTGGGGGTCGAAGAGGGGAGCGGTGCTGCAGAAGCAAGGAGGGCTTGGGAGACTGGAGAGTGGGGGCTGGGGAGCATGAAAAGAAGTCCCTGAGTAGATGACTTAAATCTTATCATCTGAAAGACACCATGTGGCTTCTTCAATGGATAAAGAAGTTTGTCCTCCCCTACTTTCCCTGGCACTGAATCTCAGAGCTTTCTTCTCCTCCCCAAGGTCACAGTGCTTTCAGAGTTCCCTTGGTCCTTGTACTTGTGAAGAAAATATTCTCACAGAGATGACTTCATGTATCTGTTGTCCCCCCACTCCCCACTTAAATTTGAAGCACAGAAGGAGAACACCCTGGGAAAGTACCACGCTAACCCAAAAGAATGGCTTTCCTAGTGGATGAATTTCTGTAACCTGTTATTTGAACTGGAGAGGTCCTTTGAGGCCAGATTCTTCGCAAGGACGTTCAAATCAGGTCAAGTCTGCAGTTACCTGTTCTGGAACTCTGATAGATTGACCAAGCCAAAAAAAAAAAAAGTTTTGAGGGGTGGTATATTCCTGGGATGGGTCAATGTTGGCTGACCTATGAACTCTCAATGAAATAAAGCAAGTTGTCAAATGCTCCTGGGACAAGAAAGATAAGAAAGCAAAATCTTGGGGAGCCTGGGTGGCTCAGTCGTTAAGCATCTGCCTTCAGCTCAGGTCATGATCCCAGGGTCCTGGGTTCGAGCCCCGTATCGGGCTCCCTGCTCAGCAGGAAGCCTGCTTCTCCCTCTCTCACTCTCCGAGCTTGTGTTCTCTCTCTCGCTGTGTCTCTCTCTGTCAAATAAAATCTTAAAAAAAAAAAAACTATTTAAAAAAAAGAAAAGAAAAGAAAAATCTCAAATTATCAGGTAGCTAAGGTCATCTAAGAAAATTTCAGCCTTTGAAGTTTGAATCACACTGGACACCTTTAGAAACACTGAGGACAAGATGAACAAGATTCCCTTATGCTGTTTCACAGAGGTCTAGATATCTCACAAAGACATAACCCTAACCTAGAGATGGTATCACGGAAAGGAGCTGGGGGAACAGCCAGAGAGGAGTCATGGTAGGAAGGGAGGTTCCTCATGGTTGAGAAGGAAAGAGCGAGACTCTATTTTCATGTGCCAAATATGAGGTTTGTAATCAGTCAGCATTTAGGTCAATATATTTGCCGTAATTGTTTTCATATGAAATTTAATCTTGAGAGAGAAGTTGATTATCAAAGACTCAAGCCTGGAGGTGGGATATAAGTATGTCTAAATTACAAACTGAGGTACTGTAAGCTTCCTTACCAAATAAACATCCAGAACCCTAGGAACTTACTTATATGTAGAACAATCAGTGAAGATACTCAGAGTACTTCATTTTATTTTCTTAATTGAACCAACATAAAATGCCAATTTCCTTAGCAAGCATGTCCTTCTCCATTTACCAAAATGCTTTGAATGGCCTCAGCACCAACAATAGTCTTAATAACAGATATTTAAACTGGTTTGAGAGGCCATGGTTTACTTTTTCTTTGAATTTCTATAGCTCCATCTTCCATCCATTTCTTTCTGACTTCCCATATGTTCCCTAACAAATTATACTGTGTATTGAGCATCTACTGTAATACCAGCCCCTGTGGATATCTTGGTGACCAAAATGGCACAGTCCCTGTTGCCTTCAAGGGGGAGGCAAACATTAACCAAATAAATATGCCAAGGAGTACATAGTTGCTAACCAAGATAAATGTTATGAAAGAAAACATTCATGTTAAAAAGATTTAACCTAAAAAACAACTGTAAGCAAAATTGACGTCCAGTTAATGCTATGCACACTGATGTATTTAGGAAGTATACTGATATCTGTAACTTATTTTGAAATGTACATTTTAAAAGATGGATTGAAGGATGGATAGAGAGATGGATAGCTGGATATACATGTAACAAATCCAGTATCCCGAGATGTTAATTACAGACTTTACATGGTAGGTAGAGATGGGTGTTCATTGTACATTACTTCCAATTTCTCTGTATGTTTAAAAAATTTACATTAAAAGATATTGGAAAACAAAAAATCAATAAGAGATGTGATAAATTATAACTGTAACCTTTGACAAGCAGAAGGGATCATGTGGTCCAGCTCTAGCACTGGACAAATGAGGAATCCCCAGTGACCAGGGAATGATAGATACCCAGTGCTACTACGCTTCCACCTGAACAGATACCCATTTGCCCCATTTTTAACAGCTCACTTTTTGAAATGCATGTGCCTATTTTGAATTGAAAGAAATTCTCAATACGGTAAGAATAGTGTTTAATGATGATTGTTTTCTGTGTTTAACTTACTTACCCGGCAGACAAATATGAACTTAGTAAACTTAGAGACAGATCAAACTTGTGGAGAAAAAACAGGTTGGCTGCAACATTCTGTCTGTCAGGTATACTTTTGAAGAATTAAGTGTCTTCACCTCTGGGAAAGGAAAACACTGATTATTTGACAGGTAATATGTGCACACCCTGTAAAGCTACATAATGACAAAGGTTTTTCTTGGTCCCCCACCTCCCAAAATACTCATTTTGTCCATGTAGTCAATATTCAAAGGAAAAATTGGTTGTAAAATATTTTTTACATGTTTTCACTGTTTTTTGTTGTTTAATATAGTTTAGCCAAGAAGCCTATATATATATACCCAGGCTAAATTATCTAAGCTTATTGAAAACTGTCCTATAACACACAGCATTGGTTTATTAATGTGAAAAATAACTTGGAAGAAAAATATCATGGTAAATTAATATTGCCATCAATCAAATAATTATTATAATATTTAGTTAATGTCTTCTATATGTATTGCTGGATAAGAAGCATTATTCCTGACTACAGAGAGCATACAGGCTTTATGACTATTCCTTTGTGTTTCTTTAAACTATTCATAGTTTAATTTTGCATTTTTTTAAATCCACCTTACCTTAAATATAAGAAACTCAGTAATATCATATAGGTTAATATTGATGTTAAAAAAAGATTGGATGGTTGAGCATTTCCTAAGAAAGCCTTTAGGGTGAGCTTTGGTTTGTCCCTGAAGGTGCATGCAATAAAGTCTTTAGGAAGTGACATCTTTCATGAAAATTTCTCTTTTTTTTAAGATTTTATTTATTTATTTGACAGAGAGAGACAGCGAGAGAGGGAACACAGGCAGGAGGAGTGGGAGAGGGAGAAGCAGGGAGCCTGATGTGGGGCTCGATCCGGGGCTCGATCCTAGGACCCTGGGACCATGACCTGAGCCGAAGGCAGACACTTAACGACTGAGCCACCCAGGCGCCCCTGAAAATTTCTCTTCTTACAAGGTCCCAAAACTTGTACCCTTGGAAGTGGCACCCAACCTACCACTAGGACTGCACTGACAAAACAAGTCCTTGGGGGTATACAGCAAAAAGCATGTCTATTGCTGTGTAGCTGCATAGTGTGCACAGATTTTAACTGCCAAAAATCAGGCAACTGTTTTACCCTTGTAGATGCAAAAAAGACCAAATTCTCCAGAAGTTCACTTGTGTCAAATCAAAATCATCAAAATGAAAACCCCTCTTTTT